ATATAAAATCATTCATATTCTACAAAAAAAAAAAAAAAAATTTTACATTCGTTCGAGAAAGAAGAAAAATAGAAAGAAGATATCACATCAAATAATGCATTAAATTATTTTCCTCAAGAACATACAACTTGTAAAAGAAGCAACATTGCGAGTCTATTGTATTAATGATTGCATCGAAGCAATAAGAATAATCTTATTAAGCTCCCGCCTTCGATCGTGCTTCCAAGATATCGGACTTTAAGATTCGCTGGAAGTGGGAAGGATGAAAAACCCGTTGAAATACTTCCTCACAAATTTCAGTTTGCGCGATTTGTGCGTGGTATTAACGATCAGCCGTATCGCTCGTTACCGCGACCTTTTTATCGCGTTCGAGATTTATGTCAAGTGCATCGAACACCTCAGGCATTTTTATTCGATCGCGATAAGGTCGATGTCGAGCGGCTACCTTTGTTTCATTATTGTAGCCGGTTTCGGTGGGCCTCGACGAAGTTGTCGAGTGTTTCCGAGGCACAAAAGTGTACGGTATATCTCGATGTCAAAGAACGATATCGTCGTCGGACAATCGCGCGAATTTTAGAATTACTGGAAAAAATCAGTTCCTTACTGATTAAATTTAATCAATTTAAAAAATTAATAAATTATAAATTAATTATATTAACGTGCCAACAGCGTTAACAGCGATGTTAAATCTTTTATTCCGTTCTTGCGACATTCATATAATTTTTCTTCTTCCTTCGTCTCTACTTGGGATAATGCGCGGTAACTTTTTCAATTGGATTTTCGTCTCGTTCTTACAATGAATTGGGCCGCGGTGACCCACTGCCGGCAGCGTTGACAAGCGTAACGGACGTAAATTTAGCAGAAAACAGAGCGAGAACTCGATTATAATGGTTGCGAATTACCGCGAGCAACGGAGAAAATGCTCGTGCCGCTATTTGTACGAAAATTAATTCTCGCCGCTCATTATGGGACATTTTTCGGAAAAAAACGTGATTACAGAATATAACAACGATTAAAAGAACGATATACATATATATAGATATTTAATGAAACGCAATTTTAATTTTCAATCACGGGAAATCATCGGAGAGAGAAAAACCAAGAGGTCTTGCATAGTAAATGGCAATTTCGCGGGGAAAGATTTTTTTGCTCGACACATTCGTGATTAAAACCTTACATTTGGGGCAACGCTTTTGTTCTTGAGAAAGAATTGTTTTCGCAACGCATCGTTTCCTAGAAATAGAGCACGTGGGTAATATTTTCGTTTATTCGGATCCACCATCCACAAAATCGGAATTTTCCTCGTCGCTTTTCGCTGAATAATGGAAAAATGTACGAAAATACACGTCATGAAATAACATTTTTAGGCAACAGACGCGTCAATTGAATCAAGATGAATCAAGAATCAATTGAAAACTGTCATAAATTTCTACCACAATATATCCATTCTAAATAATCCAGTTCAAAATAACATCACAACAGATACCCGCAGATATCATATTGTTGCTAGGGATAAGTGGATTTCAACTTTGACAGCAAAACCCTATTACGAGAATTTTTCTTCCTCGATATATTTGCCTTATCAATTTTCAGATTAGAAAGTTCCGATAAACAATTCATTTCTAATTAATACAATGACTCACGATATAAGAATCCTTTCTCCATTATTCTGAATGCAATATCTCGATCGCTATTCCAGCCGCGTGGAAAGGCGGATATTCGTGGAGGGTAAGCAGATATAAAGTGTGCACTTTCGTTGAATGGAAGCGATTCGTTTGTGCATCTTAATCCCGGCCATTGTCGGCTCATCCGTAGAATTTGTGAATCGCGAATCGGTCAGGAAGACACAATATCGCTCGGACATGTCGACGTCGAATTGAAAATCGTATAAATTAAGCAGATTATTATTCCGAATCCAATTGCAAATTTCTTCATTCAAATACGTTTATATATTCATTTATTAATTCCAATTTTTGATAGCATTTACATTAATGTCGTGCCAAATGAGAATTCGTTGTGCCTTCGAAATAATGCATTTTTTAAATAAACAAATTTATAGATCACCAAAATAAAATAAATACAATGTTTAATGAAAAAAAAATAAATAAATTATAAAAAGATAAAAAGATAAATAAGATCAAAAATTAATCAAAAATATAATGGAAAAAAAAAAATAACGATGCATTTTAGGACGTGCAATATGTTTAATCAGCAACTTTTGGCTCTTAACTTCGTCCGGTTTCTACTCCAGAAAAAGTGCTAGGAAAATATATTTCTCTGTAATATACGCCAGTAAAAGGGATTACGTGCCTTTTTTTCACGGGAACAGTTTCTACGTTAGTCGCAGTTAATACTTCCGCATTTAAAAATTGCAGTTCGCCAGTTATGCGCAGGCATGAATCGCGTGAGAATAAAAGTGTTACGCCAAGAGTGGCATTGTGAACTTTCTCGCAACGGCAATTTTATTAGACTTCGCGAGGCGTATTAAGTCAAATATATTCCCGCGAACAATACGCTAAACGGTTTAACGCAACAAAGCACTCCTGGCAGTAGCGCGTCCATTATCACACGATATTATTTCGCAAAGCCAACCAGCTGGATCCCTGACATTGCCTTATTCAAGATTTCCTTGCCGGAGTCGAGAGAGGAGATTCGTGGAACGGAAACAGATGGGATACCACAGTTTTCTCCATCCGAATGTCGATAACGCGTCTGAAGCGAATTTGCGGAGTCGATTCCATATGATAGCCGCCAATCAGTTAACCGATCTAACGACACATCGATCGGATCGATCGAACGGATAAAACGTGTAAAATATTGAATAACGAATCGTGCGCGATCGTCGATTACGATTTCCCGAGCATTACCATATGCAGATTTTATGCAATCTTATGGAAATTTATGAGATAACGGGCAGTCGAATGGAATGGAAACAATCGAGGCAACGGAATTATTTTTCTATACATTTCATAAATTTAAACCATTTTGAACTGGATCAGAACATTTCTGATGTGATATTACGTTGCAAAAACCTTATGACGGAAATTCGCGCATGATTGTACGTCGAAGTCCAAAGGAAATTATATTTGCTGTAGCGTATCACACATCCGCAGTATGTTGTGACAGCGCGATAAGAACACCTTAATCTCGCTATTTATATCATCGCGGATGTCATAAAGTTTAGCAATAAAATATATGAGCTGGCTTTTGTTACGTGGAAAATGATAATTATCGGGACGAGGATGTCATCAAAAATTTCGTCGAAAATTGGAGCACGGAGTGTTTGATAAATGAGCCTTATCTCACTAAATAAACCAAAAATCTATTTCAACAAACCCGAAACTCGTCTCATAAAGGTAAAGCTAATTTTGGAGCAACTTTGGTAATCTACCACAATTAATCAAACGCCATTAAATTAGGAGCGTCTACTGTAAATAATTAATTTTCTTTAATTACATTCAACGTGCGAGAATAGACTGCCTACAATCGTTCCTACCTAGAACGCTTTGGCATACATATAGCACTCGCGTTTATATTTGTCTACCGGCAAATATAAACGTGCAAATTGACAATCGTCACTCTTGATTTAAAATCAATATTTAACGCTGACGTTCGTCAACGACACCGTTTCCAGCCTCGCTCCAGCGATTCGCGTCAATGACAGAGCTCATATTTTTCAAAATTTGCTTATTCATTACTGCAACACAATTTATTAAATAAAACGAAATAATTTCCCCGGCGTTTCTCTGCCTCGAACAGTCCGCCGACGGTATGAAGAGTCACGTATATCCTCCTTTCGCTACTTTGAGATTCAAGAGCTCATTAAGAAAGACCCGTAACTATCGACGAGTCGACACACATGGTAAACTTTCTTAGCAGCTCTGAAGGTTTGAAAGGGCCTGAAATTAATTGCTCGTCACGCCCGGCTTTCGAGGCGGAGTATTGCTTTTGGCCAAAAGTGTTCGGAAAAGGACCATCTTAATGGTACTTCCGCGCTGCGGAACGCTGTTCGACACACTGCAGAATAAGAGAGAGAGAGAGAGAGAGAGAGAGAGAGAGAGAGAGAGAGAGAGAAGAACAAAAAAA